GGCATTTACTAAGGTAAGGGGGCAGAGGCTTCATACTCTTGAGACCTTGGAGACCTTGGAGACCTTCATACAGAGGTCTCCAAGAGAATGGCAAAAGTTTGGGCTAAATAGTAAGTGGGGTGGATAAAAGCATTGACAAAGGTCAAACAAAAGGTTTTTAACTTGGATCACCACTTAATGCAGTCATCATCATAGCTAACACTAAGAGCAAAACAAAACAAAAACCTTCTCTTGCTGTTGTTCAATTTCTCTGTACTTTATAGCAAAATGTTTAAACTGGTAGTCTACATATATTGTTTGCACTTCCTCGCCCTAATTGTTCTTTAGCACACTCCCAATGCAGCTTGCATAGTCAATACTCTGTGGAAGCTGCTCTCATCAAAGATACAATGACATCCATGGGAGCACACTCAGTGGACAAGTCTTTGTCAGCTTTTTACTGGGTCTTCAGCAGTCCTCAATGACAATGCTGAATCTCTTTTATAAAAGGATTCTGTGGCAACACTTTCTCCTGGTTTCCTGCTATGACACGTGCTTCTCATTTTCAATCTCCTTTGCTAACTCTCCCCCTTCTATCAGACCTCTAATGAATGAAATGTCTTAAGCCTCATTTATTTATTTATTTATTTATTTATTTATTTATTTATTTATTTATTGAAGACAGAGTCTTGCTCTGTTGTCCTGGCTAGAGTGCCGTGGCGTCAACCTAGCTCACAGCAATCTCAAACTCCTGGGCTTAACAATCCTTCCGCCTCAGCCTACCAAGTAGCTGGGACTATCTCTGTCTTAAGCCTTTTTGCGTATGTCAACTTGTTCCTTAAGAGATTTCATCCAATTCAGTCCATGGTTTTAAATGATGTTCATACACCAATGACTCCAAAACTTTATTCTACCGCCCATACCTGTCCACAAAATTTCATACTCATATATGCATTATTAAGTATTCCAAACATAATATAGTTAATGGAACTCTTGATTTCCTCTCCCCAAAACTGTTCTTTCTTGTCTTTCTTATGTCAATAAATGACATCACCACTTGTTCAAACCAGAAACTCATTACCTACCACCAAAATATATCTCAAATTTGCCCATTTCTCTCCAATTTCACTACTACCACAACAATTGCCAAAATAATTCTGTATGACAAACTAAATCAAACTCAGTAGTTTACAAGTCTAGATTTTTCTTGCTCACAGTTCTTTGAGTTAGCCAGAGCAGTTCTGCTTCAGGATAAGTCAGCTGACTTATATGGATGGGCCAGGCTAAGGGTACAGCTACCTGGGGCATGGTCTTTCCATGACAGATCAAGGAGTGTAAGAGACAAGATAAACCACTAAGTACATTTAAAGTCATCATTTGCATCATGCTTTCTCACCTTCTATTGGCAAAAACAAGCCGTGGCCAATCTCAAAATCAGTGGGGCAAGAAAAGATACTCCAACCCAAGGTGGAGGAGGAAAGAAGTGAATATGTATTGCACAATAACTCAATCTAAGCCACCATTATCTCTTGCCTGAACTAAAAAGTAACTTTCTAATTAGTCTACTGTATTCTCTTTATCTTCTGTTTACTGAATCCTATGCATAGAGACCAGTATATCTTTTAAAGTTGGAAATCTGATCATAATATTCTTCTTAAAACCAATTAATGACTTTCTACCACTCTTAAAATAAAATTCAATCCCTTGCCATTACCTATAGGACCACACATCATCTGATTCACACTTATCTCTCTCACCTGGTTTCACATCATGATCCCATGCACTCTGCCATTACACTGCAGCCACAGTGTCTTCCTTCAGGGCCTTGAATAAGCCAATGACTGTTCCTCCTCAGCAGTTTTTCCCTGCCTGGATTGCTTTTTTCCCAGCACTTCATATTACTGCCAGTGATGTGCTGTAAATGGCTTGTACCAGCTTTCAAGAATTAATTGTTAAATTTTCAGGAATTTTGCAATCTAGACATTTACGTGTTTGGTAGCCTAAAGTCAGCCAGGATGGGAATATTTATACCATGAAAGTCAGGAGATGCTATAAATCAGGCTTTTCTTGTTTTGTTTTTTTTTTTCAGAGCAAATTTATCAGCATACTACCAGTCCTTATTATATTTCAGATCACAGATCAAATATAAGTTCCTGGGAAAGGCATTCATGACATTTTTTTGTATTTAAAGTATGTCCCCACAGTTAATCTATTACATCATTCTGTTTCCTTCATTGTATCATGTTTTGTCATTTATCTTATCTGTTTTGTTCCTTAATTGTCTTTTGCCTATTTATCCCAGCAGGTTGTAAACTCCATTTATTCACAACTATATCATCAATGTCAAGAAGAGTACCTAGCATATAATAGATACTCAATAGTCATTGCATGAATGAATTTTCCCAAGTATGTTATCATTTATTTAAGAATGGGGACATTCTTATTCTTTTTTTTTTTTTTAGACAGAGTTTCACTCTGTAGCCTGGCCTAGAGTGCCGTGGCATCAGCCTAGCTCACAGCAACCTGAAACTCCTGGGCTCAAGCAATCCTCCTGCCTCAGCCTCCTAAGTAGCTGGGACTACAGGCATATACCACCATGCCCAACTAATTTTTTTCTATATATTTTTAGTTGCCCAATTAATTTGTTTCTATTTTTAGTAGAGACGGGGGTCTTGGTCGTGCTCAGGCTGGTTTCCAACTCCTGACCTCGAGCGATCTGCCCGCCTCTGCCTCCCAGAGTGCTAGGATTACAGGCGTGAGCCACCGCGACTAGCCGGGATATTCTCATTCTAACTCATTTATAGCATTATAAATCAGCAGCCCCCAAAATATTAATTGAGTAAATGAAATAATTCATTAATGTGTTTACTAGGTACACAGATGTAATGAATTTCATATTCTATGTCAGGAAGAGGAATAAAGATATTTGTGCTAGACAGGTTATTTGAATACTTTAGATTTCACTTTATGGATTTTTTTCCTACTCTACCTTCATGTAAATAATTATTATCCTCAATATAATAAGATCACTTAACTAACAAATCGTTATTAACTATTTCCTTCATCTATCTGCTGAAGACCATGGGAGTTATAAGAAAAAAAAAAACATCGTATCTACTTTCCAAAAGATTACATTTCATAACCCCACAATAGAGGTAATCATTTATTTATTGAATAAATATTCTAATGCCGATTCTAGCAGATATTAGGCACTCAATAAATGTTTGCTGAATGTGATAAATGAAACTCAGCCAAGAACCAAGAAGAGGTTGAATTAAATGCATGAGAATATAAAGTTCTCTATGATATAAGAAGAGTTGAAAATTAATCCATGTTTTATCAGTGCAATTTAACTCTACCATGAAACTTCACTCTGTAAAACAATAATGCAAAATGTACTACGAAACAAATAGGTAACTACATATTTTCAGAAATTTAAAAACAACGTAATGATAATGAAAAGTAAAGAGAAGATTGCACAATTCTAATAAACCTTAAGACAATTTAATCAATAATAACCAATTCAATGTCTACCAGGTAAAAATAATTACATTAACTTATATGATATTTCAGGAATCTAAATCTTATCCTTCAGGTGGGCATATTGTATTGATTATGACAGATAATGCAGAAAAGTGGTTATAAGGGCAGATAGACTTAAGTAAGTATAAACTTGAACTTTACAATATATCACCAGTATGACCCTTGGCAAGTTATATCATGTCTCCAAGTTCAGCTTCCTCATCTGTAAAATAGATTGCCATGAGGATCAGGTGACTGACCCATGCGAAGTACTTAGCAGAAGGCTTAGTACACAGTAAGTACTCAATAAAATTAGCAATAGTGAGAATGATAATAACATGGTATTGATCACAGTCTCTACAAGAAATGAGGCAGGTATATAGCATATTATAAAGTACAAGGTTATAAGTATCATAAAACACAACCAAAATATTATCTCAAATATGTAAACTTTTAGTTATAGTACAACATATGGAAAACAAAATACAAAATCATATTATGCTAAATAAAAATTCCCATGCCTAAAACTTCTCTATTAATCATTTTATCTCATATCCAGTCATAAAATACAACAGTGCATATAAAGCCTTTGGCAAATTAGGTAATATACACTCTTCCCCTCAAAGGAAAATAATATTAATTATCCCCTAGTGAGATAGCTGAATCTTTACCAAGTAAATATCATATTCAGAAGTTTAACAAAATAGCCCAGAAGAAATGTGTTTAGATTGATCTTCCATTGGCTATTCTCTACAAAAACAACAAAGACATGGCTATAGTTCAACGATTTTCTCAAAACTGGGCCTTTGCTCAGCCTTAACTGGGCTCTAGTTCACCTAATACTCGGGAACTGGAAATACTGGTGTACTGGTGATACTGAATACTGGAAAAATACTAGTGTATATCCCTAGACAGCCAATCTCAATCTTTCCCCTAAAGAAAATTAAAACAGGTGTCCAGTTGATAATTCTCCATATATCTGTATGGAGAATTTTCATATATGGGTAGTCAGAGCTGTCTGAGCAAGAAATTCTGGCACCTGGGTTAAAAGATGCTTGAATGGCAAACAAGCCATGGAAGTTAAAGATAGAAACCTCGAGGAAGATTTAGAGACATCTTCATGAAGCCATTTATTTACATTTCAAAGAATAAGACTTAGGGACCTTTGCTTTACCTCCTATCTCCAGATTGGATTTGCTTACATTTACACAGCACTTGCTCTCCCTCCCTCCTTCCCTCTCTCTCTATGCAGTGGAGGAGGGGCAAATGTCCCAAATGCCCTGAATAAGTTGCAAGACTCACCATTTTAGAGGTCCTCTTCTGTGGTGCTAACTCTACTACACACGTGAGTAACATCTGCCCTCATTTCATTGCCCCTAGGAGAACTGAAGCATGGGGAAACTCAGGCAAAATTAAGTCTGTCTCTGATCTAGAAACCTTGTACGTCCTGTTAGGATAGTACACACACACACACACACACACATAGACATAAAACTTACGTAGGGCTGATACACTCCTTTCCTTCACAGAGGACCCTGTAAAATAAAAATAAAATCCTAAGCCCCCCCAACCACTGAACAGATCCCCCCCTCTTAGCCAAGGGGATCCCAGAGAAACTTTTAAAAGTAAGTTCTCTGCCATGATGGGGGGGAAGTCAGACACACTTTGTTATACTTCCTCCTTTTTGTGGTTTAGACACAACTGACCAGCATTAATGTTAAAACAGAGATCATAAGATTGACAGATGGACTCTTTGTGGCAATAAGATATCAAATTATAAAAAAGACTTAAGGCCAAGCCAAGCAAGGGTTACATCATGGACCCCTACACTTACGAAATAAAATATGTTCTAAGTGCTATAAAGTTTTTCTTTTTCTCTAGCAGCTAAAAAATAAAATAAAATACTGACCTTGAGATAAGCAATATTAAAACAATTGCAGCATATCCACTGCCAGACACTGACCCCCCTATTCCACAAGCCATAACTACAGCTTGGGTTGGGCAAGAAATGGAATTTTTAAATAACTTTCTCCTGATTAGAAGACCACTGATCATGGACTGGTTCTGGCTGGTTTACAGAGGCTGCACAGTTGAGTACCTTTGTGTTTCTGCTTCACCTTTTGGCATATAAGGCCTAACTGCATAATATAATACATTTAATGTTAAGTCTCCACTCCAAGGTGAACATGGATCTTATGCATGTTTATTCAATATGCATGCTTTAGGACCACCTTCATGAATATTCTTACCTTCTCCAGCAACCTGTTGAATATGTAAATTTGGCCCACCCATTCAGCATAAATCCCTGTTGCACCCTCATCTCCCTTGAAATGCTTGTTTCTGGCTTTTGCCAGATGCTACACTTCCCAGCTTGCCAGAATGGCCACCTCACAGGCTGTGACCGTTTATAAGAAATAAAGCTCTCCTTTCTAAATTTATAAATTGTGTGATATTTAAGTTAACAACCCACATGGAGGTGAGTTATGAACTGACTTCCAGATGTTTAAGGCCTTCTTTAGTCCAGCAAGTAATCCAGTCCTTTGTAATTGCTCTCCAAACTTAAACATCTTTGAGTTCTTACTCTCTTTTCTGGGCAACTCCTGATGCCTCCAGCTCATTCCTTTTATAGCAGCTCCTCAAGTCCAGCTCTGTCAAGTCACCACCTCTATCCCTGTCCCCCAGTTCTCTCACCACTGTGGAAGGAAGACTGCCCACTGTACCTCCATGGCTTCGGGTGAATACCTCAGCACTATAACTTTCAGCTTATAGCTACATACCTATTAATCCCTCTAGTACTAACTTCCCTGTTGCAAATTTCTCTCAGAACAAGGGTTTTTGAAAAGAACTCACTAAAGGCACTCATTCTTTTAGGAAATGCACCAAACTATAAAGTGTAATATACTTAAGGTAAGGATCACAAGTATTTGTGTCAATAGACCATATGTGTTGATCAACCCCTGGCCTTGGGAAAGCCACTTAGCCTCTCTAAGCTTCTGTTTCCTCATGCTTAAAATTCATGGGTGATACTTTAGAGCATTATAAATTAGATTGTGATGTATTAAATAAGGTATAAACTAAACACAGATAAAGCACTGAGTATATAAGCACTCAGGAAATAGAGAACTGTTTCTATTGTCATTAATATTTTTATAGTTTCTTTTGCTTTTCACTGAGACAAAACATAAACTCATCAGCACTTGTTTATCCTGGCAGGGCTCCTATATCCACTAAGGACGGCACCAGGGACACCTTAGAGAAATTCATCTTTCCTTCCCATAGTGTCTGAACTCGGGAATATAGAAGACTAAATTATAACTCCAATCCCTCTTAATGTGCTTCCCAAAAATGAAGCATACAAATATACAAACTGAGTCTCAGAAATAGAAACATGCATAGAGACACTCTAACACAGGTCCTCAACAGATTTTGAGAACTCAAAGAACTCATTAGGCCACAGTTGGGATACTGTCTAAGGAAATCTGGGAAGGGAGTAAACATTAGCAGTGGGTGACAGATATAAATAAAAATCAATGTAATGACCAAAATTGATTTTATTCATGTACTGGGAGGAAATATAAGCACTCATGGAGAAGCCTAAAATACCACAGTCCTTTCTTATAACCATATAAATAACCTTGGCATAGCAAGAAGAACATTCATTTATAATTTTATTCCTCACAGCAGACATCCATGGGGTGAGAAGGGTGTAATTACCAGGGCAGGGCTGCTAAACATAGAAAGTGGTAACTTTAAGGCATTAGGGATTACTTGCAAATGAAGGTTGTTTTTATTTATTTAATTTTTTGTAGCATTAATCATGTTGCTTCTTGCAACGGTGTTGTCATTTCTCCTGCATGCACATACTGAATTACTGAGCGGTGCTATGCAATGTGTCTCACACGCTCTGGCACTTCCATTTCATACTTCACAGTTTTAGTGTCACTTTGAGGTTTGAAATGTTTCACAGTTATTTGCTATATGTGGGTGCCAAAAAAAAAAAAAAGTCAGCCTATATTACTGAAAAAGATACTGCAAGAATAGAAAATGGTTAAAGTCAGATGGGAATTTTTGTCCCATTAACATTCAGAACTTTATCAAGAATCAATTCACTTTTTATCAAAATCTAATTTATGTTTTACAGATGTATGGGTGTCTACAATCATTTTTCTCACCACATACAGTTCTTACAAAGTTAAATATAAACTTTTATTGATGCAAATAGGATTCTATAATTAGGAGGAAATTGCAAATACCATACATCTTTTCTAGCCTCACAATTTGCCAATATGCTCTGACATAACAAACCCAAAAGCCTCAATCCAGCCACCTGATCTAACTCCGTATAAATATTGAGTGAATTTCTATGTATGTATCTCCCTGTATGTTTCAGTTTAACATGTTAATCTATTTAAACACAGATAGAATGACTTATATCTGCCACATATATGAATATCATTAAGACTGATAATACACTAAGTAATATATATTCACCAACACAAACAGTGACAGGTGTTTTATCATCAATTTTTATAAAGCAATAGCATACCTGATGACTTCCTACATTCTCCCTATGTACTCTTACTGATTACTCCCTTACTCTATACACACAGACACACACCCACAGCACGTTGGCATTTGAATACCTAAATACTACATGTATTTTTTATTAACATATTCTGCCTCACAGTCAACCAAAAAATTAGGTAAATAAGTAACAAGAAACATGTTAAGACTCATAAAAGGAAGCTTTTCATACAGGAGAATTGTCTTGAATAAACACCTGGCATAAATCAAGCACTTTGTAAAGATTCATCCTTTCCTCTCATCTTTCCAACGTCATAAGATGTCTCCTCAAGTTCAAATATCTAGTTTTTTCAATACAAATAGACACTGAGAGCCATTGGTAAGTATGAACAGAAAGTAAAAAGAGAAATAAGCAAATACAGATGGAAATTCCAATAGTGATAACTTTAGGCATGCTCTAAGATGTTAACATCTAAAATTATTTTCCCCAAACAGTTAAAAAGAATTTTTCTCTCTTAAGAAGAGGGAATTTATGCTTATAAGCTTGGCTATCTCAAAGATTACAATTAATTACTAGAAAATAAGGGAGCAACTTTTGCATCTGAGGAATCTTGCTCTTAACAGAGAAACAAATAATGACTAATTATGCTAGCATGTTGACAGCACTGATAAAGGTTCAAAGGGTCTACTTGAGTTTCATATATTCCAACAGGAATTTCAGGGTAATTCTGCAAGTGTATGTGTGGAAAGAGGGCCAACCTGCCACAAAATGAGAAAAGCTGATCAAGACAGAACGCTAACATGGCCTACTTTGCTTTCTCAAAGCAATCTAAATCCTAACTTGACAAGGCCACACCAAAAATGCAAAACTGTCTCTATCACACTTTACATTTGCAACTTTCTCTTTAAATGCATACACAATTAAATGTTTATCAGCAACCGAGAAATCATACAACTTCTTTATTATAAGGGCAAAAGTACACTACTAGAAAGAAATAATGTTATACTATCAAAAAGGGTTTGATTTAACTTGGCTACCTATACTGGACATTCTTACTCTGGATTTACAGTAGCTTCAAAGTACTGAAATTGTATCCGACAGGCTCATGAAAATTAACAAAAATTTCTTAAAATAAATTAATTCTAGTTTGTGTTGAAGTTAAAATTAGTACTTCCAGTGGCATGTTTAGGAGTAAATTGGTTGGAAGAGAGGTAGAAAGAATGGATCACAGAATACATACAAAACTTCATAACTTTCAAAAAAAGGTTGAGAAGTATTAGAATAGACAGTAGGCCAAGGCATCAAACTGTGATCTTACAGAGACTAAAAGGGCCTTCACTCAACTATGTTTCATTTACTTTTTATTTTATTTAGTTCTGAACATATTGCTCTTTGTGTATCAAACATTCTGTCAGATGCCGTGGGGTTAGCAAAAGCTATAAAAAATGTAAAATACATGATCTGAGCCATCAGAATAGCATCTTATATAGAATAAAAATTTACTTTAATAATATTTAGAAAGCAATAATTCAGAATATTCTTGTGAATGTCAAAGAGGAAATGATCACTGTAAAAGAGAAAATTGGACTAATGGTCAACTGTTGAGTAGCTGAGAGAATTCTAAAAAAAAAAAAAAGTTATAATGTAAGAGAGAGAATTCAAAAGGTTCAAACATTCTCTAGAACCCTTTCCGTATTTCACAACTCCACACTTACTATTCCCTTTCCTAAGAATACCTTTTTCTTATATAAGCACAGAGAGGTACATTTCAAATATATGGTCTTTGTGAAAAATGTAAAAAGTTGGAGCAGGAGTTTCCAATTTTCTAATCTTTTTTGTACACTACCATCACTACAAAAAATTTTGAGCAGATTGCCCTAATATATGTAAAGTTATTTATATTATTATTTCTTATCTTATAAATTATATTCATATTCTACTTTATTAACATATGATGCACATTATAAAACAAGCATAAAATATGTTATAATCAGAAAATATAGAAAAACA